GGTGTGTGTGTGTGTGTGTGTGTGTGTGTACACAATTATGCTACTCTGCTTCGGCTCTCAGATCAAATGCCAATAAAAGCAACTCTTGAAATTTGAAGTGGCAAAACTTCAGCCCTTTTCACAGTCTGATGTTTTTCTTCGGATACAGTGCTGCGTTTCATTCGTGTGTGCTGAACTGATTTCTCGCTAAGCGCCTGGAGTGTGGCAGCAGGGAGTTTTAGAGCCAGCCAATTGGACATGATCCTATTCTACGCTACAGATATTTTATTTAACATCTCTTTTTTTTTTTTGGTATCCTACAAAAACATGAAGTGCAACACCTAGTGATAGTGCCTTAAGATTATCAAGAGCTTCTTTACTTAAGCAAGTAGGAAAATACAGAACTGTAGCAACAGCTCAATGTAAAAATAATTCTCACTCCAAATAAAAGTCCTCTTTGAATTTATTCCTACTCTTAATGTTATTTATTTCCAATTTGATAGATTTGTATTTCCTTGTGTTGAATCATTTCAGACTAAAAACATTTGTCTTCCAGGCATTAAACGTTTGTTCCCTGGGCCGCACTTTACCAAGAGCGACTTTATCTCCGCGCCAGATTCAGTGTCGAGGGAACTTAGATAATCAGACATGCAGTTGCTTATCCTGTGATTATTCCGAAAGAGCTACGACCGCTTATGTATGGCGGTACGCAGCCAACTGCTCCATATTGAGATTACCGCAGGGTGCTGATATAGCCCTTCGGAGATAGATCATTTTGGAAAGCAGGCAGCTAGCGGTGCTGCTCATGGACGCACTAATCCTCCAGCTGGCTCCTTAGATAATGTCCTCAGATATAATCAACCTATTTTTCCAGCTCAAGTTAAAAACTATCTGATCGAGCTTGGCTTATCTGATCGTGCTTGGCTTATCTGATCGTGCTTGCGTATACCACACACGGAGCACTTTGCTGAACCTATTACTCCACTGCCATTCTCTGCTGTGCTCAGTCATTAACAGCTCTTTTAAGAGTGAAAGAGAAAGTGTCTCATATCTCGAAAATACAAGGCAAGCAGGGTCATGTGTTAATAGCGAGGGAATGAGGATCACAGTGCGTTATCACATGTCGCCACGTCCTTAACCAGCTACAGCATCAAAAGCCTTGGCAAGCTCTCGGAGCTCGGCGTGTTCTTTGATTGGCTGCAGTTATTTTTGATTCCCTTTTTTAACGCAGGGCCTTTCTCACTGAGCAGGGACATGGTGCACACACCTACCGTACGCCATGCACACTTAAAATCACTGAGCATCTGTGTTTTCTTTTTCAGCTTATTGAACTGACAAGCACCTCGGATGCTCTCTCTCTCTCTCTCCAGCCAACCCCAAAAACCCTCCAGCCTTACCGGTGTTGCCCCATGTCTGAAGCTGATTACTCCGTCTGAGTCAGTCTCTACGTGGCATCTCTTATTGGATTTCAGCCTAAGTCTGTCTTGCATTTCAGTTGATTGCGTGCTACCTTACCCTCCCGGCCTGCTACCGTGGTAGAGGCTGAGGTCAGTAGAGTACATTGTCTGCAGTACCTCTCCAATAATATTACAGTTTAGAAAAGATGGGCCTTTTTTTGCGCTCTAGGGATTGAAGTATTACATGAGAGGGGAGCTTTCTGAGAGGCAGTGTTCAGCAGATTATTTTGAATGTTGTCAAAATTGCTCTGCCAGTCCGAGGCCGAGCACCCCTCTGATACGACGCTGCTTGATCAGGTCTGCATCTATCTGCCCACCAGCCCTCCACTTCTCTCCTCTAGCTCTGTCCGACCAACCTCTGCCCTCTTTGCGTGGCTTAGGACCCGGTGCCAATCTCTGTCTGCAGCACGTGGGTCTGTGGAAGCTAAACATTCCAGTTGAGTTTCAAGGTTGTCCAAAAAAATGCAGGTATGCGGCAAAGACCCTTTGAGATATGTTTTCATTCAACGCGGTCCATCCAAAACGCTGCAAATCTGTATCGAGTAAATATCCCGTATGTTCAGAGGATCTGGCAACTTCAAAGTGAAACCGGCTTCCTGAGGCAGGAGAAGGGCAACTGCATTAATTGCCCACTCTCCAACAAAGTTATTCTTGTTCTCCGAAAAATATCAAAACAGCAGCATCAGGAAACTGCAACCCTCACGGTCATCAACGCATTCCCAATCATAACAAAAATTTCCATACCGTATTGAGGAGACGTGAGCAGTTTATAAATCATTTCGTGAGTGCAGGAGTGTTTGAAAAGGAAAGTTTCAACTCAACATCTTCTCTGCAGTATGCTGCATTCTGCTCTGTTACTGTAGCACCGCATATCGAGAATGGCATGTGAGCCAGCGGGGTAATTATACAGTGGTGGAGTTTCTCCGCTTTAGGAGTTTTGACTTGTGCAATGAAGGGCACTGAGGTGTTGCTGAAAGGATTGTGGCTAACAAGGCAAGACTCCCCGAGCCATGACTTTAATATGGCAAATTACTCCAGAGGTATTTGTCACCTGAGGACGATTAGGGGAATTAGGATTTAGAGTTGACGTCCAATTTGGAGAGCAAAGTGTGTTAAGGTTTAGCCAGGCAGAATGAGTGGCACACACATTGGACACTAATTACAACGGACCCGTAGAGTTCTGTCCTTCTTTGCCCATTGGAGTCTATGTTGAGTCACATTAAAGCCAAGAGTTGTTATTTGGAATCAGATTATAAGGTACAGCTTGTAGACAAAATAACATGTTATAACAGTTCTTGAGAAACTTTGAAATTTGTAAAACAAGATAATATCACTGTAACAAATGCTGCTACAAAAGTGCTGACACTCATATTCTGCCACTTATCTGGTCTCACGTTTTCAGCATATTAAAAACACAGTTATTTTGACCATTGCACCGAAAATGTGGGCACAGGTAGTCTGACCTTGTCAGAAAAAAAGTTATTGCTTAAAGGGACAGTTCACCCCAAAATCTCAAAAACTATTTTATTTTTGATTTTGGGGTTAACTGTCCCTTTAAGTATTTACAGTAATGACACACCTTAATCCTCACTGGCACAGCTAGCTGCCCGTGCGGGTCCAACCGTTAATTTGATCATTTCTTGGCAAAAACTACAGCATGGAGTCAAACTCCACAACAATGGTGTTGAAAATGACCAGTTATGTGATGCATGCAAGAACAAGGCACTGCAAGGTAAACCTAGAAAGTAAACAGAGACCCTTAGCTCTTATCGGACGCTACACTCAATAACCTTATGGCAGAGCGGAAAAGAAATAAATTCAACTAACAATTTGGGTTGTTTTCCCAGTACGATAACGAATCCAAACATGAAGCCAAATCCATGCAGGAATGTCATAAAAGCAACGACCTAATCTGAGCCTGAGTCAAGTCAGAGACCATTACAATCAATGCAATCAAACATTTGAACCGGGACCCAAAAACTGCTGTTGAGTCATGGTCCCCGAGCAATTTGACAGAGCTTGAGTAGCTTTGCACAGAATGTTGGGGAAAAATTGTCCAGATGTTCAAAACCGATACTGCCTACTACATTTTTGACGAAATCTACGCAGATATTTGTTTGTTTTTTACGTACTTATCAAAAAACCCTTTAAAACCCTCAACACCTCAAATACTTCACTGAAAGTTTAACAATGAAACGTGAAAGTTTAAGGAGAAGTCAATGCCTTTTACAAGTTGTATGATCGGTGTATACTGAAGACGTACATGAAGCATGGTTTAAATTATAAACAAGGCAGTCATTAATAGATGTGTCCTAGACTTCAATGACTCTCAGAGTCCTTGGAAGACTCCTGAATACATACTTTAGCTCACCCTTCAGGCAGATGCCACTAAAAAATATACTGTATGTAAAAGATTTTTTAAAAAGTGGACTCAGCATTATGTTTCCCGTCTGACAACACAAATAGTGACACGGCTTCTGATGAGTCCAGAAAGTGGCGTGGTATATTGGTGACACAGTCGGCCTGTCCTCCCGACTGCTGTGGTGGCTTTAACAGCCAAAGTCTCTCTGAGTATCACTTACTCCACGCAGCTACTCGCAAGGGACGGAGAGGCCAGGCCAGATTCCACCGTGAGTCCCTGGATATTAGTTTCATATCACAGATAACAGACAAACACAAAGGAGAGAAAGAGCCAGCCGGGGAGGAGAACAAGGGTCAGGGACAGAGAGGGGGGGGGGGGGGACGCACACCAAATATGGTGAAATAACAACATTAAAGCAGAATCAAGACAGTACATCACGCCTTCAACAGGCATCGGATATTTGACAAGTGGCACGCGTTTCCCTTCTAGTCTACAGCTTTCCAAGAGCCAAGTTCAGGAAGTATTGGGCTCCAATAAATTTCACTTTAATTGAATTTAAATGAAATAAATTAATTTCTAGCTAGTTCTAGTTCCATGTTAAGACTTAATCACTATCCTGAGAGGACAGGTTGAGCTCGTTTTTAGGTAATGTGTTTCATGAATCAGCTTGTGTGTGCACTTTTATTTATTGAGTGACCTAAACAATAGTCATTGTTGGACACTGTAGCTTCTAGAGAAGGCATTTCTGGTTTGTTGTTGCACTTGCCCAGTAAAAAGGTGTTTTTGAATCGCTTTACTCGGTTTTGCATCTGTAGATGTCATGAATAACTGAAGAGTTCATGTTAATGTGCTGAGACCTGTGATTTCCCATTGTTTGTATGTTTAAACAGATTCTCATTTATATCAAACCCATCAATCAAATTTGAAAAAGAGCTCTGTTAAGCCTGGTAGGAGAGGTACATCGAGAAGTAGCAGATGTAAAACAAACGCGTATGTATTTTTTTAATTTCATATGCAAACTTGACATATTGATGGTCTAGGTAAGCGACAGAGTGGTATCCCTCCACACACAAAAAGACAAACAGGAACAGTGTCAACAGGGAAAGGGTGTCGACAGGGAGACGGTGTCAAACATAAAAAGTGGAACCGCTACAGAGATGGAGATAATGAGCTGTAAGGGGCAGGACAGCCAGTTATGACTTCACTCGCCTGGCTCTGGGATGGGAACAAATGGAGCCTCGCTGGGTAATTAAGAGACACCCAGGCCTCACTGGGATATGCCAGGCAAACGGGACAGAGGCAGCAGAAAGGGAAAGAGGGATTCAGAATGCAACCCTATTGTGTTTCATGGAGGGATTTGGACAGTGAGGCACTGGTCTTGCGGTCTGTCCTAAGGCCATGCTTTAGGCTCCGGTTACAACACCTGCCTCCAGCCACCCCCGTCCAGCCCGACCCCCTCCTTGCTGTAAAATGAGTTATATCAGACTTCTGCATTATGGAAATGTCCCTGTGCATGGAAATGTGTGGGAAAGAACCAATTTTTTTTAATAGGCCATGCTAATTGCGAGCAGTCCCGGTGATGTCATGACAGTGTTTATATGTGTAGCGAGGGTGAGGAGCAGGTGACACTGGCAGGACGGGGTGGACTCGGTTTCCGCTGATGTAATTGTGCCTGATTGAGCGGTTCATTGGATCACCGTGTTTGCAGTTAGGTCATTGCCTTCATGCGGTTGTCCTGAGCTGCAGTCTTATAATGACCGTCTAGTTCTAGAGGTGATTTCATACAGATTACTGTGTGTGTGCGTGCATGTGCGCTTGTGTAAGTGACAGTAATTTTTTATGGGACATGCATGTACACATGTATGTTTTGATGCCATGTGCAATCGAACGAGCCAAAGATATTTATGTATTCAGCAGAGACAGTATTTTTAGCAGGAAACGTGGATGGATTCTTGGTTTACTTTCTCACCCTCCCATGGTGGCTCCTCTGTCTCCCAATGGAGTTACAGCCCGTCTATCTATGTGCATACTCAGGACACTATACATGTACTCACACATATTTGCAGAGCACCGGGTAGAATCATATATCTGCCTCACAGGATAAAAGACGTTATCTTATCTCATCCAAACGAAAGATACCGTAATTCTCCTCGAGCTTCCGTTTCCTTTGATATGCTTTATGTGTTGCCTCTGACTTAAAAATAAAAAGAAAGAGAAATCAGAAAGATAATTAACCGTAAGTCCGTTTCTGCTTGACTTTCCTAGATGTGGATCTGTTGGTTTGTAAGCACCAGGGTCCGTCGTGCTGCACCCGGAAGATGGAGGAGAGCTACCAGCTGGCTGTGAAAAGGGAAACCCTCCACAACATTCAGTCGTACAGCTACGAGCTGGAGCACCTCATCTCCGGCCACTCGGATGCCTTCCAGGGTAAGTGCTGGGACTTGAGGGGGCCAGGCTCTTTTAAAAAACTTGACCCAGCTTCATGCTGACCTGAACTTGTGCACCCGTTTTGAAACCAAATGCAGCAATAAAAAAAACCCCAAAAACCATTTGTGCTTGTTTTCTTTCTTCCAAAGAATATTTATTTATCCAGTGTTTGGTGGAAAAAAAAAGTTTTTAACTCAGTTCGCCCAGGGTCATGGAAGCTGGCGTGCAGGCAAATGTGCAGTCAGTAACTGGGCAGGGTCCCCCCCCCCCCTTCTTCTGTAGGTTTGGCAGCAAAAGTGCTGTGAAGAGGGTTCACTGAGGGTAAGCGGGGGGGAAAAGAGGGTACAGAGGCCTTTTACTCAGACTTTAGCATTTGGTGGATGATGGTCTGCTTTGTCATTATCGAATCCTGCTCTCAGGACAAAACAATTACTGGAACCCTTGAACACATTACAGTAGTTTTGGGAAGTGAAAGAGTGCACAGTAATTTGTTTGGTTTGCTTGTTTGGTTTGTATTTTTTGGTGTATTTTTTCTTTTTTTGTTGTCGCAATGCCTCTTTGGTAGCCTGGTCAGTTCAGATGTCTGAGTTCCGGATAAACAAAGCCCTGCTGTAGATACAAAGCCTGTTTCGACTGGGTCTTTTGCCTGCCAAAGGGTTTTGTACTACGCCCAGCTGAATCAAGCCGTGCACTAGTCGCCCAAGCGTGTCCTTCCTCTTCCCCTAGTGATTGCAGTGTCGTTTAAAATTATAGAATTTCCGAAATAGACCCAAGTTCTCCCTCCCGAAAAACCTCCAAACACCATCCCACAGGGTAGGAGACCTGCTCTGGATGTTTTTTAAGCGTTACAGGAATTTTTGGTACCATGCAATTAGTTTTATAAGACAATGGACTGCTTGGACGCCATGTTGGTTAAGTCCCGCTTTAGGATGGATGTGGATGTCGCATGATATGTGAACAAATGATGTAATAGAGAATGAAACGGGTTAGTGGAACAGTCATGGAAATAATTAGGTTACGGTTGTGTTTCAACTGTAAATGTCATCTGGACAGTATATATTACTGTCACATACTGTTTAATGTTGTAGAACACCGCCGCCATACTCAATTCCAGTCGCTTCCAACATTACAAGCAGTTACATGAATTGAAGTAGCTGTGTTTGAATGGTGCTCCTGGTATTTGTCCTTTTCATCGTCGTTAAGATCTTTCCCTTCTTACCTCATGTCTGAGCCCGTCTGGAGAATGAAGATCAGGTGTTCCACATATCCAGAAAAGGCCACAGTGGAAAAATAACAATGGAATAACAATGGGAACTGGAGTATGGTGGTGCCGAAAATGATGATGTCACTACCCCTCAATTTACGAGGCCTTGTAAGGACAGTCTCTGTGCTGTCTGAGCGCCTCAAGTGGAATGTGAAGTAGCAAGTGGCTCATATACCGCATGAAGTAATGAGAATATGATTTTGGCCGATGCCCTCGGTGCCGTTATTCACACGCTGGATGGTGGAAAATTGTTTTGTGGGTAGCTTTCTTCTCCTGCGCCTTTTTTTTGTTCGTACTGTATCTATCCAATTGCACCACACACAGTTCACCGCTGAGCCAGTTGTCTGGAAAACTCTGCTCTTCTGTTGCTAATCATCTATTTGGTAATCCTCTCATGGTGTGGCCACTGTTTTCTCTACAGCTCTCTATCTGTCTGTCGTTCAACTCATACGAAGTCCTATCTGTCTGCGCTTTTTCTTTTTAACCCATTGTAGCTTCTTAGCTCCAAATCACTCCCGCTGGTTGACAAAGTTTAGCCAAAAGGACGAGCCTATTCGAAAGGAGATGGTGTGTGTGTGTGTTTAAGGAGTGTGTCCGCGTGTGTGTGTGTGTGTTTTCCTTGGCCTGCCTTTGTTTTGACAGGCCTAAAGGCCCTACTGTGCTTTGTCATGTGTGGGAGTTGCCATGTCATGAGTGTGACCCCATAAACACAGACCACATTTCTGAAATAATTGTTTTTATCCGCAAAACATTCCTGATACTGTGTTAATATATGAAGGAACCGGTTCAATTGGGGGCTGCAAAGACAAACGTTTACAGCACCAATAATCTTTTGGGATTCTCCAGAGATTGCTGTCCACTTTTACCCTGCTACTGCCACGCCTTAAATCACGCTAGCAGGTTCCATATTTTTGCATAACAACCCCCTTCCCCGTAGTATACCTTCTTCTTCATCTTCCCTCCTTTCAACTTTCCTAAAACCCACACACAGCCCCCCCCCCCCCCCCTTAGATCTCCTCTCTCAACCCCAACACACAAACAGGCTGATTCTCCTAATCCATGCCGTATGTTGATAGGTAGTGACTACTGGTAGGTGTCAACCACAGAGCCCAGTTTAGCGCTGGTCCGCTCTAGCCAATCTGGAGTAATCTTAGTGGCTGGACACCTCTCTGTGGCCTCCTGATTGGCTGAGAGAAAGTCGAACAGATGGACTGGTCACTTGAATCTTTGTATGTCTGATTGGCTCTGCTACTAGTTGATCTGAGGAGCTGGAGCCTTACTTTTAGTTAGCTCCAATATGCCCTCATATTAATTACTTGTGCAGCGGTCGCTTGTTGGCAAATTATTGTGCAGGCAATCCAATTTGCTTGTGTGTGCGTGTACATGACACGTGGGAGTGATGAGCAGGAGAGTAAATATCTGGGTATACTATGCTCGCGCTGCTGGGGAGCAGATGTCAAGAAAATGCTGACACATTTGATCACTAGTGTCACCGATATGAGGGGGACCTGGCCCACAGCTAAAGGCCATGACATCTGTGTTTGTGTGAGTGCGTGTGTGTGTCTGTGTAATGTGGGTGTTCGAGTATTTTGTACGTGTGCATCTTGATTATTCTGTGTGTGTGTGTGTGTGTGCATACATGTGTCCCGAAGACGTGAGCACTTACAATATTTACCACCCTTGCGAGTCACCATGACCACCTCGGGGCTCAAGTTGTCCTCGCGGGGAGTTGACAAATGCTTTTCAGAGAGATGTATGCTGCTGGCCTAGATAGCTCTCTATCATCGATGAAAGTGCAGCGCAGTGAACGTTTCAGGTGCCCTTCAAAGGGGGGACGGGGGGGGGTTCATTTGAGAAGGAGCGACGGCGAGGGAGAGAGAGAAAGAGGCCGCGGCAAGGACGGTGCCTTTCCTCATTGACGCGACATAATTAGCACCCCCCCCATCCGTCGAGACAAAGTGATGAAAACCACCACCTGAGGCTCAGGGATACTCGAGGGCCTCAGGCCGAGTTGTGAAAGAAAGACAAGAAACACAACAGAAAGGCTGTAGGGTTTGTTGGTGTATGTCCCCCTAGACTTTCGGGTGCCTGAGTTCAACCCCCCCCCCAATTACCTGCTAGGATACAGTAGACAGTATTCTCCATGTCTGTCGCTCCGTGCACCCGTAACCCCAATCCCTCTAGGCACAGAGAGACAGACAAGGATTTCTAGCCTCAAGCCTTATTATTCGTAAGCCAGATGAAACTGTTTTGCAAATTCCTCCGCTGTCTTCTCTTTTACTGCCAGGGCGGATCTTCCTGGGTGGCTTACACAGCACACCCTGCGTGAAGGCAACTGTCTTCATTATGAAAATGCTGATGATTTATGTGTGTTTTTGTGTGCATGTATGTCTGCATGCCTACAAAAACACAGCGATAGCAACGATGAATGGCTCGGCTGCGGCGTCTTCGTCTTCATTATTTTTATCAGACACAAATCCCTCTATCTATATTGCGATCTCTCACTTCTCTGGAAGTTCGCTCACTTATTTTTGCTTGTGATCTCTTTTTTTGGGCCCGGTCCTCTCTCACATCATTATCGGGTTTATTTTCCTCTCTCTCTCTCTCTCTCTCTCTCTCTCTCTCTCTCTCTCTCTCTCACTTTGTGTCTCCATGTTTTTTTTTCTGTGCAGATGTTTTGACCGACAGGGTTATTGCTCTAGAGGCTGACGCTTGGACACAGGATGACATCGCGCTGCACCATGAGCTCATGCTCAAATTAGGGAGGATATCCGGAATCCATCCCGACACGTCTCATTTAATCATACAGGGTGGAGGTAGAACGTGTTTATGGACCTAATAGCGAGGGTGAATATATTGCGTATTTGAGTGTGTACGTGTGTGTGTCCTGAGCGTGTTTATGTTTTATCTACGCCTCTCGAGTCTCCTGAGTAGACATGACACATGAAGGCAGGATGTGTATGCCTCAGAATTTGCAGGACTCGCTGGGGAAATGGGGGGGGGGGGGACAAAGGGAAGGCGGGAGGAGAGAGGGGAAAAGCTCAAAGCCTCTCACAGTCATCAAGTCACACTCAAAGCTTCCCTAATTACCTCTGCTTTTCATCTGCCCCCCCCCCACATCAGCATGAATATGTGAGAATCCAGAGAAGAAGGGAGTTGGGCCTGGAGAGACGGAACAGAAAAATGGGATGGAGGGAGGGCTTGTGGTTGAAGGAAAAATGTCAGTGTGCACAGGTGTGTTTGAGTATAGTTCTATCGCTCAACAAGAGCATGCTGGGTCTTTGGTGGGCACGACGCCAGTAGCTTGCGTGTTGGCATGTGCGCTGCAGGGAACCCTCATGTCTCACAGATAACCCGGCTGTCAAGAGTGCGCTCCGCAGAATATACACCATAAACACAAAAATACATCTCCGTCTTCTTCTTCGCCCCCGAAAGTCTCCCCTCATTTTTCTTCGTCGTTGTTATTTGGCTCCCCGAAAGCCTCTGTCTTCCTCACCAACCACCCATGCTCCCCTAACATTGTGTCCAAAGGCTAAACAAACACGAGGTCTGTGTTGATTAGCTTGCCGCCAGCCGCCACGGCACATCATTTGACGTGGCGTGAAATGAAACTGAGATAAATACCTCTTTATTTCTCGCCAACACCGTCTCTTCCCTCACGGGATGACTTTCTGACCCTACTTTGCAAACACTATTTCTGATGCTGCCCTTCAGCTAGCCTCAACAAGCGCTCTCG